ACGGAACAAACCGGGCTTTTAGTGTCACTTCAAACCGGGTTCAGGTGGTTTATTCAAACCCTAATCAACACACAACAGAACTCAACTTCATCAGCATCTGTGAGCGACGAGCCCTAAAAAATATGAACCAAACGACACAATCACGGCTCGTTATCTCCAGAAAACCTGCAGAATCACACGATTTATCAGAAACAAAAAGAATCGTCAACTACACGTCTGTAAACAGCTAAAACTAAGCTGACAATTATGATGTTTCACCAAAATCACTGCGTTCTGATTTTAAAACCAACAATCAAATGACAACAGTTCTGAAGCTTCTCGGTTGAGCTGCAGTTCGAGCATCCAGACGGAAAACAATGAAACATGAAAATAGTAAAACATGTTCAGTATGTAGAGCCAACAAGTTTCGGAAAATAAATCATCATCATCACTGAGTCTATGCAACACAAACAAACTGAGATTTTTGTCATAAATCAGAATTTTTTTCCCTCAAATCTGCAAATGTTCAAATTAATGTTAGCAAGAGCGCCGTTTCTGGTGAATTTAATTTATCTTCAGCCTCCAGGAGATGCTCTGAATTCAGCTGTACAATATTTGAAGTCTCATTTTAATGCAGATTTATTCATTAGCAGGAGTGCAGCACAATGTGGAAGTGAAGCGGCGTCTATTTATTAAAAAATAAAATATTTTGTCCTTAAAATCAATGAAAAATTGTCAAAAACAAATGAAATGAAAAAAGGGGCTTCAAAGAGTTAATTTAAGTAATAATCAAAAACAAAAATTAGAAAACTGCGCGTTTAAAGGTGATCAAAACTTGAGCACAAAACAGAAACTTGTTGACGTTTAACTTTATCAGCGTGAGAAGGTGGTGGTGCGTTCACTGCCTCCGGTTAACGTGAGCTGAAGCAGGAAACGTACACAACACAAATCCCTCAAACATAAAAATATGAACCAAATGACAGAATCGTCGTCGTCCTGCTGCTCTGCACACAGAAGCTAAACTCAGCCTCTGCGTCGTCGTGGTGGTCAGACAAGCCGATCCGTCGCTCGATCAGTCTGGCGACGTGCAAACCGACGTTACGTAAGACGTGAGGAGTGACACGGCCGCTGGGCATTTGTGTGCGATTGTATATACAGTATGCATATGTGGGTTTGTTTATTGCAACAACAGCGAGGAGCGTGGGGAGGGTAGCAGGAGGGCCGAGGAGGGCTGAGGAGGGCTGAGGAGGGCTGAGGAGGGCTGAGGAGGGTGGAGTCACACAACATATGGAACAACCATCAGGCCTCTGATGAGGATCAAAGCGGTTATATAAGAGCCACAATGCCTTTGTTTTGTCCAAGAGCTCACTTCCAATCAGCTCCGACTGCCAGACTGTGTTTCTGTGTGTGTCCTCTGATGAAAGCGTCAGACGGGCTGATGGAGAGTCAAAGTAAAGACTAAATAATAAGACAGACAGAGAAGGCCACATCTATCTTCTGTCTCTCCGTCCGTCCATCCATCCAGCCCACATGTTTGCTTTGGTAGAAAACAACAGGAATAAATAAATTGAACCAGAGACGCCGTCGGTAGACTTCCAGAACATTCAGAGAAAATAAACAAAGGATGCATCTCACAAAATCTGCTCCTTCCTGATGATCCCCAGACAGAACACACAGAGAGGGAGCGACTTTCCAACGAAATCCTGCAGCCTTCACATGGAAAGCTGGAACGGCTTCTTCTGGGTGTTTCTTCAGTCCTACACGTCTTCCACACGGTTAAGGCAACAACCCTCCTTTCAGAGGACCACAAACATTTGGTTTCAGGTCGATCTCACTGCACAGCGGCGGAAAAACCGACCAGATACGAGTCACAGTCACAATCCTGTCTGATTACATGAACTTTCCAACTTGGTTTGATTCTACATTAAAGCATCTTATTCAACTCTGTTCAAACAAATCTTTGCACTGGAGACTAGAGGCTCCTCCGTGTTGACCAGCTGGCTTCCCCAACAGTCTGCAAGTGATGTGTTTAAGGAACAACAGTAAAACGAAGTGTCTATCAATAAGCAGCTGTTTAACAAGGGAGCCATTTGGGGTATTTAGTTTCTAGAAATCTCTGTGGGGCTTCCAGGGCTCGTGACAAGCGACGCATAAACACCTGCAACGCTCCCAGAACGCTGCGTAACGCAAGTTTGTCAGGAACCATCTGTAATGAATGAATGATGACACTCCGACTTGTTTTCGGGGAGGAGAAAAAGTCACAGGGAGTCCAATCTGCAGAGATCCATGCAACGCCGACGGTCTCAGAACTTCTTGATCGGCCCTGAATGTGACCCACTGGAGCAGCAGACACACCTTCGCTGCTGACAGTGAGTTGATGTAAAGAACAGGGAACAGGTGTTTTAACTGAAGCTCAGTCACGTAATAAGGAAGACTGGGCTGTTGATGAAGTGTTTCCTTCCCTGTGCTGTACGTTCATGCAGAGTTTTCTGTGAAACCTTTGCTGGCTGACAGGTGGACTCAGGACGAACGACCCAAACTCAGAACCTATGTATAGACACACCGCTGTTTGTCTTCTGATGCCGCCGCCGCCTCCAGAACGGATCACATTACAACTTTTAGGACCGTCTTTATGAGCGAATGCTTCTTGATCTTTGTCTTTGTTCGCTGAATGCAATCAGCACCTTCAGCTTATCTGAAGCTGCATCTGTTCGCTCCCAACAAAAGTGAATTAAACTTCAAAGACGTCTTCAGTCGTGTTTTTTGTCTGTTTTGTTTCGTTCTGTTTGAGCTCCGGTTCTGTCGAGGTGATAAAAGTTCACACCTGTGCCGCCTTCTCAGCGCCGTCAGGCTCAAGTTGCGTTGAAAAGGACCTTGCACATCGTGTGAGCCGCTTCCCTCAGCGAGCTGTCGGACTGGAAAAATCTCAGCGAACACGTAACGAGCCGCTATACGTTTCAGACAGGAACGCTTATGCAACAGGCGCTAGACAAAACACACGGCGGCCTGGACGGGCTCGTGCCACCCGCGGGTGCCCTTTGTGGGTCCGTCTGTCACAACCCACTTACTGTACAGACGCATAAATAGGCCGAAAGCGGAGACGATGAAAGCAGTGGAAGAGGCAGCAGGAAGACTGGAGGGTTAACACGCACATCTGTCACTGAGCAGGAGTTTTCTCAAAACCTCTCCAGGGTTCAAAATGTCAGAACGCTGGGCGGAGCTGCAGCAACTCACTCATCTGTCAGCTATGGTCTCGGTTTATTGATAATTATACGAGTGTAGAAAGGGTGAAAACTGTCCATCAGTGTTCCCAAAAGCACAACAAAGGCTGTTTCAAAGTTCAACAACTAACTTTAAATCCTGTTTTTGGATCTAGTTTGCTCAGAAAAATGAAAATATAAACGTCTACGGTTCCAATAAAAGTTTTATCTGCTGCTCAAACAGCCTCTGAGGTGACGAGCATTCATCGACTGCGGCTTCAAAGATCACGAATAAAGTTTAAATTCCCGCTTTTGACCAAATGTGCTTGGAAAAATAAAAAAAAAAATGCAATTTTATTTGGTGACGAAGATCATGTGACATCACTGAAAGCTCCGGAGCAGCAACTGAATGTGTGTTGAATTTACTGTCACAAAAAGAGGGAAAAAAAGAAAATATTCACATTTAAGAAGCTGAATTTAGCCTTTTTTCATTAAAAATCACTCAAACCAAACAATAGATGATCAAAATAGTTGATGATTATTTCAATAGCTGCCCAATAATTAATCATTCGATCGATCGCTGCAGCTCCACCACCGTGAACTGAAGACAAACTACTGAATCATCAGTTGAACAGCACAGTTGGCATCATTTATTCAGCAGGTTTAGAGTGTGATGATGAAGGAGAAATAAAGAGAAGTGAACAACAGCAGTTCTCTGATTCTAGTTCCTGTCATCTGTGTGGAATAAAGTGTGTTTAGACACGTTTAACCTTCAGCGCGTCACGCTTTGGGGCAGATTGAACCCAAAACACTGGACTGAGAATGAAGCAGCAGGTTTACAGGCTGTGAGGTTTCATTGTGAAGTTTTTATAACTTAAAGCATTTTTCAAAGCTGATTTATTTTATTGTTTACTTCCAAAAAAAATGAAAAAGCCTCAAACCAACACGTAAAATATTTTTCCGATTGCTCAGATGTGTTATAAATGCTTACAGTGACTCTACATGCTGTAGATGTTTATCTATTTATATCTGGTTCTGTGTTCTGTGTCAACACCGCCTGCAGTTCACCTGAAAAAGTCCCTGAATTTTTGCGATGTGATTGTTGTTCACAACCGAGTCACTAAAGGCCCGTTGGCTGCATCGTCAAACACAGAATTTTTTGTTTTTTACAGAAGCTGGTTCGTACAAACGTTGTATTTTGGATTATTTTTTTAATATGAGACAGTTGAATACAGTGATTTTGATGAACTATCACAAGTTTAAGCTTCTCAGTGGAACGATACGACACACGAGGAGTTCAAGGACCGTCTTAAAGCTGAACATCTAACCATGCTTTGTGGATAACGGTGCATATTGGTGATTTCTGGGGGTTCGGAGGGTTCATTACTCCATTTATATATATGATTGGATCCTAGTTGAACCTTTTATCTCCAACACCTTCATGAAAACTCAAACATGTCTGTTTATGTAAAAGATGCAGCAGAAGAAACACGTGTTGATCGTTTCTGGCTTCAAATTAAAACTGTAGAGAAACACTTTGAGAGCAGTTTGAATCTGTTTAAGGTCGCTTCTGTTATAATATTATGTCGGTGGTGGAATCGTGCTGACCTTTTTCGTCTCTTTACGCTCAGAGCAGATGGTTTAAAGTCTCCTCAGACCTTCACATTCCTGCCAAATATAATTGTGTGTATTTTAGGAGGCAGAACTTTTTCCCAGACCGTGGATGTTTTATGTGTGCGACCCGTCAGCTACGGACTCAAACCCAGCCCGATGCCGCCCTCTGGAGGCGGACAGTACGTCTGCATGTGTGTGTGTTCCTACTTTAGTCTGGAAGCAGCAGAAGAGCTGAGTCAGGTAGGGATGCTTCCTCGCCAGCGCCAGGATCCTCTTCTCGGTCAGGGTGCAGTCCACGTCGTCGTCCTGCAGGATCACGTCTTTCTTCAGCACCTTGACGGCGTAGACCTCGTCGGTGCCTTTCAGCTCCGCCAGCATCACCTGGACGCGTGAGACACAGCGATAGACGACATAAGACGACAGACTGAACGTTTCCCACCGATGCGTCCTCGTCGCTGAGCTGTTTTTTACTCTCACCTTTCCGAAGCTTCCTTTTCCCAGGACTTTGATGAACAGGAAGTCGTGCAGGTTCATCCTCTTGGCCTCGGGAACGCTCTGACCTTTGACCTCGCCGTTGGCCTGGCCGCCGTCGCCCTTGGCGCCGACGCTCTTCCCGTCGCCTCCTCCGTGGGCGTCACCCGTTACCGTGGCGACAGACGAGGGGGAGGACAGCGGGTGTGTTTTGTGCTCCTCGCCGCGGTGGTCGAACGACAGCGCCTTCCGGATGTTCTCCAGCTCCTTCACGTCTGCAAAGAAACCCACAAACAGGATGAGCGGTGGCGCGCTTCGGTGACTTTCGGTCTAGAGCGTCGGCGTTCATCGCGGCCTACCCTGGTCGCACGGAGACGTGGGCGCCGACTTGGAGCGGTCGTCCTCCGTCTGAGGAATCCCTGATAACGGCTGCTGAGGATCCTGAGCCGGAGGAAGCTGGTGCACAAAGTTATGTTCACGGTTAAAACATGTAGAAATATGAGAAATGTGCAGACATCTGGTGGAAGAGGAGAAAAGTTCAGTTTAATTATTAGTTTATTTGAAGCCTCTAAACAGTTTCTGGATGTTTTTTTGCGGCTTTGTCACATTTTCCTTCACTGTGGACTGAGCTAGTCGCAGTGAGGATTCAGAAATGTGTTCTTTCTACAATAACAAAGCTGAAATGTCATTAGTTTATTAGATTATTTAGAGAGAAGCCAATAAAATATATATTCTGCATTGTGACAGTTTTAATGCAATAAACTATAAAAAAAAATAGAATTAAGTGGAATTTCTTTGGTTCCTTCATCATATAAAAATGAAAGAAATCAAAGATGACACACATCTACATGCTATAGATATTTTATTACTTATATTTTTAATTTGTTTTCATACTTGCTGACTATTTACGACTACTGCCGGGTACGTGCACGGTCTACAGTTCAGCTGAAGAGTCTCTGAATTCCTGCCACATGACTGTTGGTTGCAGCTCAGTCACTAAAGGCTTCATGATGGCACCAGGTCGCCCAGGATTTCTTGTTTTTTGCACAATCTGGTTTTGTGCAAATTACAAATTTTTAGCAGATTTACAAACGTAAAACTAAGTTAATTTGATTTAATATCATGATTTGTGGATAAGATTCGGATGTTTTTTTAAACAGTAAAACTGAACATTACAGGTGAGGAGTTGAGAATTTGTCAAATATTTTCAAATATAAGCTTCTCTTTCTAATGAATGGTGTAATTTTGGTGACTTTATTTAACAACAAACTGCCTTTAACACCCACCGGCAGGATTTTGGGGCTCAGAGGGTTTTAGTTGCTGAATTTCTTTGATTGTGAACAAAAAAGTGTGAAAAGTTCATGAAGCCTCTTTGGGACTCTTTCCAGTATAAATGCAGATTAAAGCAGCTCTCGGTCTGAGCTTCTCAAACCTTTTTCCGTCTCTGGGCGCTGTTGGAGATCTTGTCCGGCGTGACTCCCAGGTCGGAGAGGACTTTGGCGATTCCTCGGGCGTCGACGCCGCAGTTGGGAGCCACGTTGCTCTCGCAGCGCCGGTGGACGTTCACTTTACACACTGAGACACGAGCACGGAGACGAAGCAACGGTTAGCACCAGGAGATGTGGACGAGATCGTGGTGTGCTGGTGTGACGGTCGGTACCTTTACACTGGAGGCCCTGTCGCAGCAGACCCCACAGCAGAGAGCCACAGTGGTCGCAGAAGGTCAGAACTTTGAAGTTGTGGATGCTGAACTTGTGCGGGACGTTCACGCTGAACCTCTGAGACCCGACCGTCTGTAAGAAGAACCAGAGGACAGTGAGACAAACCTGCAGGAGTCCAGAGGTCCAGTCTGGCTGTTCCTTCTACCAGCTCTGGGGAAGTTCTGTGTTGTTTTTTAAGCCTTTTACTGATAGTTGAGGGAGAACAATGAGGGCAGTAAGGGCTGACACAACAATGATATGCAACAAAAATCATCATGTGGTTGAACCGTTCCACCACCTGAGGACCTGTAAGTCCTCTAAGAAAAGCTTTTTAACCTCAAAACGTACATGAAGCTCTGAGCAGTAGACACTACAGCCAACTGGAAATGATAAATTATAAGTAAGCTAGTTTGCTAAGTCTGCTGACAGCGAAAAAGAAAAGATCTGGTCTGAACTTTATGATGGATTAATACAAATTACAAGTGACTGGTATTTGGGCCACTGTAGGTTAAAATTTTTTTTTTTAAAAAGCCAACTTTGAGCCACTGGCTCATAAATAACTACATTTAATAGTTTATAGAAATTTCTAGGGTAAAAAATATTCTCTGAGATGAAAAAGGTACATTTACAAGATTAAACTCAGAAATCTGCCAGAAAACCATTAAAATCACAAATTTACTGGAAAAATCTAAACAAAACAAAACAAACAAACATGTTTTTTTGCTCCTTTCTTTCTTTCTTTCTTTAATCAAAGAACCACGTTGCTTTATTTTGAAAGGTTGTATGACCTCATCACACCTCACCAACTCTGGTACAAAACAACAACAACAACAACAACAACAACAACAACAGTTTGTCCTACTTTTTTTGTTCCTCATAAATGTTTGGCTTTGATCTCACAGAATTTCATATTTTTTTCTGTCCAATATATAACTTCATGCTCTTAGAAAATGCCCTTGTTTTGATGCACATTTGTTTTCTCATAACTACACTCTTTAAGCTCAGAGATGATGCTGTTCTTCCTGTAAATTTATGAAGATAACTTTAGAAATCAGCATTACAGCCACGAACATGCTGCTGTAGACTTTACTGCTAATCTTAGAACGTAATATTTTCTCATCGTTTCAACTTAAAAGCTGTAAAACCGTGGATCTGATTGATTACACTCAGTTGGAGCATCACAATAAACCTGCAGCTGCAGATGCGTACCTCCCCGACTGTGTCGTCCTGCTTCTTCATTCCTGCACACTTTGTAATGATCAGCTCATGGCAGCGCTTATGGACCACACAGGTGCACACTGCAGGAGGAGCACACGTTAACACAACGTGGACGGAGGTTTATGTGTTTTAAGTGAAGCCAGCTGCTCCAGTATGAGCATGCACCGCTTAGGAAAGATAAAAGTCCATCTTACCTTGACACTGGTAGCCCTGCTTCCCTAAAACACCCCTGCAGGGAGACAGAGAGGAAACACACTTCACTCTTTCTGTGCAAGACGAGAAGACAAAAGGCAGCTAAAAGCCAGATTTTAATTTGATGTTCTCCGTCTTATGAGCTCCTTCTGATGTACGATTATCAAACAACACCTGCCGAGAAACCAGCAAATGTTCCTTCTCACAGTTTTACATGAAAATCTAATAAAGAGGAGCAGCAGCTGGCCCACATTAAAGTGAAACATCACAACCAACACTCTGCATGTATGTCTGCTGGTTCAGGGACGCTCAGACACTCTGTGATGCTGATCACACATCAGACGTCGTCTCAGAGCGTCGAAGCCCACCAGTCTGTCTGGATGGAAACAAACACAGGCCACTGTGTTGGTTAGAGAGCAGGTTAGTGGGAGAAACTGGGTTTAAAGACGTCTAAAAGCAACCAGAAGCCTGGTTAGTGGGGAACCTGTGTTTGGACGCAGACAGAGCTTGTTGTTCTCCCCACGACCACGTCATACCAAACAGGCTCTGCTCTGTTGTAAATCTCTGCACTGGTGCCACATCGCTGCCTATTTTCTGCTCCACTGTGGTGCTTTCAGTCGTCTACGTGGTCATAAATAAAAACCAATCTGTGTGAACTGGATGAACTCGACTGAAGAACCTACGTTTGCTCGTGTTCGTGATGTTTAACCATCTGAAGCTAAAAACCTGCCGGTGGGGTCGGAAGACGTTTTGTCTTTAAAATAGAGCCTGAAACTGTAAACACACAGAGTTGGTCTGATTTTCCCACGGCCCTCGAACTACTCATTGTCACTCCATCAGGAAAATTATTCTGAGTAGTTTTGATGTTTTATCAAAATCATTTCATTCTTCATGTCAACAATAAATCTTCTGTAAAAAAAGTCACACAGAGCAGATAAGAGACGAGTATTTGAACAGATTACAGCTTTAGGTCGTAGAAACACTTCGGTATGTGGAGCCACCTTTGTGTCCGGTTTGGTACCACCTGTAGGACCTGCAAACACGCTGTTCATGCTGAGTCCATTTGTTTTCAATTTTATAATAAAAAAAATCCACTTTAGTCTTTCTTTTCTGTAGTTTGTTGCATTATAACGTCGATATACTGCACATTAGACATTTCTGAGCTCTCTGTCCGTCTTCAGGGTTGTTCTTTTTTTACATAAAAGAAAAAACTTCTGGATGAAACTCAGAAAAATGCTTCAGTCCCAGTTCTGTCTTCAGCTCCGTCTTCAGCTGTGTTTTAAATGGACCAACTGTTTGTGTTCCTGTATGTGACTGACTGCATTTTAATGAGCATCTGTTGACTTTGGTTTTAGAAAAAGGACGGTTTGGAAGAGTACATCTGCAAAAAGGTGGTTGATCAAAGGCGCTAATATCTCTAAACTAACACGAACAGCAGAGAAAGAAAATGATGAACTGCAGTTATTTGTTTGACAGTTAATCCCCACCCTGATGGAAACTCATTGATGGCTTCATTCTGCTTGTGTGTGTGTGTGTGTGTGTGTGTGTGTGTGTGTGTGTGTGTGTGTGTGTCAGCCGCTGTGCAGGCGTGAGGGTGTGTGTTCCTGACCAGATGAAGTCCCTGCAGTGGGAGCAGTAGGTGGGCTGCCTCAGGTAGGTGGCCATGAACTTGTGTCCGTTGACCTGGTGGACCCTCCGGCGGACGGCGCCCTGACGCTTCCTGGGACGCATCCGCTGCCGAAACACTCGCTCTTCATTCTCGGTGGAGCCTGCAGCTGCTGCACAAACACACACAAGCAAAACACAACAAACATCAGGTAATGCTGTGTGCACAAGTACAGAGAAGGACGGAAAGAGTGAAGGTTGCTGCAAATGTATTCAAGGCATCAGTTCTGTGAAAGAGTCCCATAAAATGTGCTGCATTGAAATATTGATGTTTATCTGATGTAGAAATAAATTCAAGTTCAGGATGTCTAATCAGTTTGTGTTTGTTGCCACCTGCAGGACTTGCAGAGAACCAAACGCTGCACTAACAGCCAACAGCCACTAGATGGCGACGACGCCGTGCAGCTGACAGTAATGAAGCGTTTGTGTCTTCAGTGAGGAATTAACCTCGCTGGTCTTTTCTTCTCACAGCGTCTGCCTTTGTCTCCTCACCGCTTTCTGTCTGTCTTTGTCTAATCACTGAAGTGCTTCCCAGCGGAGCAGCAGAGCTTTTAATTACTGTCCAATCAACTCCGTGTTAATTACACAAACACTACCTGTGCAGAGCGAGACACAGGAAGAGTCGCCGTAAATCAGGGAGAGTAAAGGGGTTGGAAAGGAGGACACACAGCCGATGTGCTCGTACGCTGCAGCGCAAACAGCAGAAGAGCAGCTGATAGAACCGATGCTGGTAAAGTTCAGATCCTTCATTCAGATGTTTTCATTATCGGTGCATCACCTGCATCGTCTCCGTTGGAGCAGTTTGACTCAACGGATGCAGATTTCACGTAGAAGTCTGCAATTTCTGCTGCATAATTCATGGTGCTGTTTCCTTCCCTTCTGCTGTCTGTGTGTCAACATCTGCTTTGCAACAGGAAACAACAACCAACTCCTGAAAACTTCGACAATGATGTAGATCGGACAACAACAGACCAGGAGAGCACAGAAGCAGTGCTCGCCGTCCTGCCAGCAAATGTTTCAGCAAAGTCTGCATCGTTTTTTTTCTTTTTTTTTGCAGTGACACTGTCAATGCATCCTGGGCTTAGCTCCGCCCACGACAACTGTGATTGGCTAAGAGCAATCCATAGTATTCATGAAGTTCAATCAGACCGTTTTCCAGCTTGAAACATCGCGTGTTATGTTCAGAAAAATGCCACAAGTGCAGCATTTATCAGCCAGAAGGACTCATCAGTGATGTGCTGGTTTGTTTGGAAACTCACTTCATTCTGCATGTCTCATTTACCCAAAATAAACTGTTTGTTCTCATTAGATTCTGTCAAAAATTTAAAAATCCTGTGGTCATCAGCACCGCTGGCTCAGATGCAACAAACAGTCACACGATGAACAGTTCAAGGAGTTTCCAGCTTAACTGCAGGCAGTGTTCACACACAGCAGATGGAGAGTCACCAGCTGTTCTAGGAACTTGACCAAATGTACATGTTCATTCCAATTTATTCATTTTTTCTACATAAATCATAAAACAAATCAATGACATAATAACGTTTTTATACTGCACAAGTGATATATTTGAGTTCTCTCCACTTCCTGCTGATGCTGTTTCCATTCAGGGCAGGACTTTATGAGTCCACAGTGGGTAAGAATGGACCAGATGCGTCCATCACTAGCTTCAGTACCCTGTGATGTCTCAGACTTTGTCCCCATTTAACCTTCAAGAACTAAACCAATGTGCTGCATGTTTATTGTCCTGCACACGGCTTTGTTCTTATTTCATCGAGGACATTTCTATAGAACAACTACATGAAAATCCACTCTGATCATTTACTGATTTGTGAACATGGCTGACCCTGACTGGAGATCAGGCCTTGTTGCATTAAGAGACTCCAGCTCCATCACCAGCTGTGGTACGAGGACACCAAACATCTGTCCTTCAGCCTTCGATGTCTCACATCATACAACAAACCTCGTGCACTCGTGTCGACTCGTGCACAAGACCAAATGCGTTCAGATGGACGGAGCAGCTTTACCGCTCGTTTACCTAAACACAGGTGAGGTTTCAGCACAGCGACGCCTGGAGCACCTCCACCCCGACCAACGTCACATTTTTAGCTGCATCGCTCCTTCAGCCTCGAGGACTGTTTGTACATTCCTTCCTCCTCGTCATGTTCTGCCTGTCCTCAGTCTTACTCTTTCAGCCCCTTTGCTATACGCCATCACCATCGCCTAGCAACTGACGGCTGCTGCCTAGCAACGGCGCTAGACTTAGCGTCTTGTAACGGGGAGGGTTCAGGGATGGGGGGGTATTTGTAATAGACAGCGTGCTCCTCTCTGGTGTCCTCATCTCAACCCCGAAACCTGAAGACTTGAATAACTCAGCGTTCACTGCCTGCTACTGAAACAACAGGTGACATCACTGATGAGGCGCACCTTTACCTTCACCATGGACATGAAGGTCCCATTTTTTTTTTTCACCTTTCACATAATCAAAGCCTCACATGTCCACATATACGTTTTTTTCAGCTGCAAAGATGGTTCATTTCACCATGACTGCCTAACGTCTGGTTTTAGTCCAGTTTCAGTGTCTGTAGGTTTACAGGAAGCTGAGCTGCTGCTGCCCCCTTCAGGAAGAAGACTCTCACTGCATCTGGGATTGACTGCAGAGAGCAAAACAGTCGACCGCACAGCAACCAAAACACGTGACCGAGTGTGTGAGGCCAGAAGTTTGTTTCTAACTTGTTCTCATCATTTGACTTGGAAACGTCATCAGATTTACCGCTCAGCTCTTGAACTCGTGTGTTTAGTGACTTGTGGCCAAACTAATGTTATAAAATCAGTATTTTAATGGTGCAGGACAGCAGCTTGGAAATGGATCTGATTTAGCATCTGTATTTATTTTACTTTTGGCCGATATCTAATACCATCGTCCTCGATAATACACAATTCATGTAGATCAGCTGCAGTACCTGGTTGCTCCACCAGGTGGAGCTTCTTACTGTTTGATACTGTAGCAGCCAGAAGAGAGCACTGTGGAGGTTTAGCTAGTAAAGGGGCACCATGACATCATCTTCTGTGAAACTCACCGTAACGTCCGGACTATAAGCCGCTTTTTTCACACACTTTGAACGCTGCGGCTTAAACAACGATGCGGCTAATTTATGGATTAATACGAGTTTTACAAATTCACCTCGAGACCAAAGTGAGGCTGAGAGCGACGACGACAGAGAGACTGAGGAAGTGATGAAGTGATTCTGAGGCTGTTCAGCTCCTGAAGACACTGAAGAAGACGACTTTAGTGGTTTTAGTGCAGGAGGAAGATGAAGATAGCCATCAGTGACTTTTCCTGGTAGCTGCTGGAGTTTTATTTCCTTAACCAGCCGTGTTACAGGAAGTGTTCAGAAAAAAGCCTCTACGGTACGTATCTGTGGATGTTACCGCTACGCATTGAATTAAAGGTTAAAACATCTTTCTGTGTTAATATCTCATGCTACAACGTGGACACCTGCGGCCTGGATATGAACACACCTGGTTTTCTGTCAGTGGGTGGAGCTTATATTCAGGTGGGCTCAATAGTCTGGAATTTACAGTAATGACCTTCATGGCAAGCACATGCACAGGATAGTGTTCCTATGTACCAGGGGCATATGCAGTAGCCTCCTTTATGGCCTGGACCTCACGTCTGTGGCTTAAAACAGCAACACCAGAGCAGTAACAATGACTGGCGTGGTGGATTTGTGTTGCACTGTAAATGTAGAAGCCTGTCACTGGTGGCTTCTGTCAGCTGACCTTCTCCTCTTCTCCCAGTGTCTTTCTGTCCTACAGAACTGGACGGCTAAGCGAGACGAGGATC